TAAATGAGGTATTTTCTAGGCTTTATCTGTGTTTTGTCTCTTAGGCGTACTTGACATTAGGAAAGGCTAATACCAGGCTAGATTCAACAGTCAATTAAAGAAAATATGGACAAATGAGAAGTGTTGCATATGGAGCACACGGCACGATGTGAAGGTTTATACTGTGGGTGGATGTACCGAAAGATCTAATTTAGAAGCAGCCATAAAGCAATAATAAATACGATAGGCGGCTAAAATGTCTGAATCCAAATATAGTTGAGATAGAATCAGTTTTTTGGGGAGTAGAATAAAAACCAGCGCAGTAGCTGCTGCTGAGATGGAAAGGTCAAGAGAGCGAGCTAAAACCACTTCGTAGCCCACAGTTATTGATTTCTCCCACAGCAAAGCATACTGTAGAAAACATCTGGGGATGCTTCTGTGTGTTTTAACTCCAGTTTTGTTTTACACAATATCTGGCCTCTGTACCCCTCTGGACTAAACAGAATACATTCTGCAGTGCACTCCTCTGGTTTGCTTGTGTGCTGATCAAACGCAGAAAGATGCACGCTGTGCAGACGGGAGGGCAAAAGAAATCAAAACGAGAAAAAAAAAAAGGTCTAAAAAAATAAAATGTGTGAGCCATCAGACGGCTAAAGAATACGAGACACATCCACGAGGAGATACTTGAACGCAGGATCTGCCGGCGCTCGTGTTGTTTAAGTTTGTGGGAGAGTGCGTCTGAGTGTGTAAGCTGTTATCTTAACGCGAGTGTCCTCCCTCCTCGTCTTTGGTTCGTCATCAAGGCCAGCAGAGAGGCAGCCTGCTTTTGTCTGGCTCAAACAATGGGCGATGCTGGTGTGAGTCACTCTGGACACACAAACACGCACGAATCCATTCATCAGTGCCAGCAGAGAACACAAGAAAAAAGCTCAAGTCATGATATGTCACCCTGAGGCCTGCTTGATTATATTTACTCCTGCCCATTAGTGCGTATTAGGGCTGCGAATAATGACTGTTTACATAATCAATTCATTTGCCAATTATTTTCTCAATGCCGTGTTTACTGTTTGAAATATCCAAAAAAAAAAAAAAGTCCTCTACAAAAATATGTAAAAACTAAAGGTAGAGAAGAAGTCTGCATCCATAAACAGTTAAGAGAAGAAGTTAGGAAACATCCAGTCAGACATGAACAATGGAATACAGAAACAAACTGAAAAAGACGAACTCATTGAGTTTTTGTGACTTTTGCTCGAAACCATTATTCTGCTGTATCCTTCTGACTGATTTTCATTTGATTGATATCTCCATTAATTGGCTCTAGTCTAGTTTTACAGCCTACAGTCATTTCTTTCACTCATCAGCTCGTGAGTCTCTTAATTTGTCCCTCATTGTATCACTCTTGCGGACAAATGACCGTTTTGTTGTAATGTGATCTAAATTCGGAATTAGAGACGCGGGGACGTCGTCTTAGCAGTATAGGCTCCAACAGCATGGCGGCCAACGTCATCCCTTAAGGCTACTGTGCCTGTTCCACTGTCTGTTTTCACTGGCCTGAGCTAAATTAACTGTGATGCTAATTGTCAGCCGGTGCTGGCTCTGTCTTTCTTCCACCGCTTGCAATTATTTCTCAATAGGCTCCCATACCATCCGAAGACTCGGCCGTTTCTATGTATATATAGCATATCCATATGTTTCCTCGCTTTCATCTCCTCCTACATTTTCCTCACTTTGTCTGCCACCATTTCTCTCCCTGTAATCTCCCCCCTTTTTGCAGAAATTACATTTGCTGGATCCGTTGGTCTCTAACTGTAGATCTTCCTTATTGTCCCTGGTTGTGTTGTGTTAAAGAGGAGCTCACACGTGTTGTGATTCCGAATGAAAGCAAACCATTGTCATAAATCCATCTGTCGGAGACCCTACAGAGGAGGAACTTCAAAGCTTCTCGTGGTATTGATGGTAAATTTAGTGCTTCACTCTGTCTGATGCGTTTGAATATTCAAACGTGGGATTACGTTGATCGATGTGGACAAGTGCTGAAGGACGTTCTATAAGTTGGAGGGACGAGGTCCTCGGTGGGGAGGCAACCCCGGCATTGAGCGCTCCCGTTGGGACGCCCGCAATCACGGAGCCCCAGGCATGTGTCGGGGCTAACCAAAGGCAAATCATTGGTCAAGGACGTTCTGCAGCACCCAGACACATCAACGTAGACGGCGTTGTTAAAATTCTGAAGTGTGGTCTGTTTAATGTGTGACGATGTAAAGGCGAAGGCATGTAAATGAGGAGTTCCAGTGTGCACATGTATGGATTGTTAGTATAATGACCTGCTGCGGTGCCACGATTAGTTACGCAGTCTATCTGCTAAAGGCAGAGGCGACCGTGTGTGTGCGCCTTTGTGTTTCTTTTGTGATGTCTGAATGCCTTTATGATGCCACGCTGACTTCCGTGTGACTGTGCTGATAAGCGAGCAGACAGAAAACACACCACAGTTTGTTCCGTCACGTCTTTTTTTTCTTTTTCTTCCTGTTAGTTTATTTTTCAGTTGCTTAGAAAAACAAAACAAACAAGAACTCACAGATGACCCACTATTGCCAATCTAAAGCTCGTCTGCCAACGACCGGCGCCTGTTTTTTTTTTTTTTTCTTTTTTCCAATATTCATGAGAATATGCAAATGAAGGTGCATCTCATTCAATCGTCGAGTGAGTCATGTGACCCGAGCAGAGGGGTCTAAGGGCACGCGGGGCGGGGAGGCTCCAAAGCCACAGACGAAGGGGGCAATCCCCACCTGCCCCAATCTGCTGTGAGAGCGAGCCGCTCTTTGCATAATGGACATTGATCGATGGGCTTTTTTTTTTCTTCTTTTTTTTTTTTCCGTTTCACAAAGTAAATACCACACTTACACACTTGCCAGCAAGCTAGGTATCACTGTTTTAGATGTCTTGAAAACCCACCAGAAGAAAAAAAAACCCAACTTATTTATATATAAATGAGCTAAATATAATTTAAATAGAAACCTAGAAATGAAGTAAGGACGACAAAGACAAAAAAACAAAAAACAAAACAATAACCACTTCTTAAGCAGACACACACACATACAGATGATTAGGTCGCACCTCCAAAAAAACGAGCTTTGAATCACCCATCTCATCTAACTAATCTTCTGGGGTGTGTTACTACCACACAGGATTTTAATTCTTGATGCAAGACACAGAAAATAATATAAAAACACTTACAACTGCCCACAGAGATTCAGTGGGAAACTAAGTATATGTGTGCATGTATGTGTGTGTGTGTGTGTGTGTGTGTGTGTGACTACTCCCAAGCACAGAGCTAGTTCCTGATAGAAATGCATGGGAAGTCCACCTTCTAGCCACGCGACCACAGTCTTCCTATGTGTAACATCTCTGTTGCACTATTCCCCTCTATTTCAGTGTTTTTAAATACTTGTAAATATACTGTATGCAGATTATATATAGAGCCCATTTACAAATGGTACATGATTGGCTTGGTACGTCAATATCATAGTACACACGTTAGCTGGAATAAGGGTCACATATGACTAGCTAATATGAGGTCAAACAATAAGATTTTTTCTCTTTTCATCATTGTCATCTTCAAATACACAGGTTAATAGTTGTCATTTTCCTCAAAAACAAAGCAAGATCAAATACAGTCGATATTAAACACTTGCAAAATGTCCACTGCAAAGAATGGCTTGAATAGGAGAAAATTGTAAAGAAGCATTTCACTTCTGTTTCTCAGTGTGCCATGCTTTTTTTTTTTTTTTATGTAGTCACATCACCTTTTTTTTTTTGCTGTTTAAATGTGTTTTTGTTTTTTTTTTCCTTCAGCAACAGAGTCCAACCATTTAGTCCTCAGCATGCTCTCTGCTGCCACTGGCCCTGCAGGCCCCCAAACAAGAGAGCTCCTATAAAAAAAGGGATAATTGACAAGGCCACTAGTCCTTTAAAACATCCTAAACTCCCTCACTATGCTCAACTCATTCCTCTCACTACTGAGATTTAATATTAATCCACAAGCACTGATTCAAATTCAAATCTTTGCTATTTTTTTTCTGAATTTTTTAAAGCAAATCGCCTCAAAACAGTGCAAAACAAATCAAACCTGTGCAATAAGGCCTACCACTATAATATCTCATACATACGTGTTACCATAAAAACAAGACTTCAAAATGAAACATCAATAATAAAAACAATAAATGATTTTAAAAAATATATAATAATAATAATACCAACGATGTGGTTAACAAAGCATGGACATGCACGGCTTAACAGAGGAGAAGAGACATTCCCCTGCAAGACAAAAACAAAAGAATTACCAGACAGCAGTGTCTGCTTTAATTTTCTAATGCTGCCCCCCTCCCCACCACTGCAATATTTCTACTGCTTGTATTGGAAACACCGGCCTGAGCTCGGGGAGCTCGGAGCTGGGGTGCCAACGGGGTGTGTTAGGAGTGTGTCGTCTCACAGGGGCTCAAGCAGCCATCTGCCACCCTACTCTAGCCAGCCTGATCCTTATCCTCAGCCCAGCCCGGCCCAGCAGGCCCGCTGTCTCATCCCCTCAAAAAGGCTTCCTGCTGTGGGGGGTGTAGTTGGGGAGACAAAGGCGGGGAGGAGCTGTGGGAGCTGGGGAGCTCCACAGCGAGGCCTTTTGACCTGGTCCCTGGCCCGGCGGGGCAGACGGCCCAGACAGACAGCACCGTGTCTACTCCCTGCCTCCTCCTCCTCCTCTTTTATCAGCCACACAGACCCCAGGGGCTGACGGAGAGACAGAAGGGGGGAGGGAGGAGAAAGAGACAGAAAGAGGGGAGGGTGGTTTGGCAAATGAACACAATGAAGAGACTGACACAGACCACCGTGACCCCCACCCACCCAGCCACCCCTGCCCCTCTCTATTCATCTCTGGGTACAGATCTCTCTATTCCCCACGGACAGGCTGCTGCCCTCTCCTCCTCTCCCCTGCATGACCCCTCTCTTGTCTGATGCCTCCTTTATCCCTCACCAGCCACGGCCAGGCGAGCGCCCAGACTCTGTGTGGCCAAGCACGCCCCTACTGGCCACGTATCACCTACTGTTTTCTCAAATGTGTGTCAAATGCGCCACATGTAGTGTTGATGCCTTGATGGCTCAGGAGGACCTGTCTGGTGGCTTGTGTACGCTTTGTTTGCGGCAGTGGTCTCCCGTCTTGGAGTAATTGTGGAATTTACAGTTAAGCTCGTTACCCATTCTTTAATTTTAGGCAAGAGGGTGATGTTGTCGTAATTAAAAAGTAGAAAATGTCTCGCCGGGGCATCCAGGGGGGGGGGCCTTGTCTCCTCTACTCCTGCGGGAGCTGGCACCTAGGCAGTGGTGGTGAGCTTTTGGATGGTACGGTTGTAGTATTGGGTGGTGAGGGCCTCCAGGGGGCTCCAGCGGTGTGCATGCAGCTCGATGACCTCCATGAGCAGCGAGCGAGTCAGCTGAGATTCGGCCGGACAAAGCATCTTGTCCCTGACAGCCGCTAAGAGCTCTGTCATCATCTCAGGGAGCTGCTCTTCCAGGAGACGCCCGGCGCTCTGCAACTGGTGGAGGGAAAAGGAGATACAGGGAGGGGGGGGTGAGGTCAGAGAAAGTGTGTGTGTGTGTCTCTTACTGTGAGCAAGACACAGTGTCTGGCACCTTGTTATTGTGGATGCAGTCAGACGGCAGAGGTTTACACACCCTCTGGCCATAAAGCTTTGTGTGTGAGCCTGCCAGTAAGTAATCCAGATTGCGAAGATTGTGTTTGTGAGCATCTGGGAAGTGTTAGCCAATCACAGCTCACCTGCCTTTGCTCTTTCTCTTCTTTTATGTGTAGGCTCTTGTTTTCTGCCACTAAAAGGGCAATTCTGGTTTATTTCAACTTGACGTAGTTCCCCTTAATGTGGCTATTGTGGTGAGGCTAGCTTTGCATGCTGAAGATTTGAGGGTAAGCTAGCAAGTATGCCCTGATAGAGATCTCTAATGCATTTGGCAAGATTGGCATTTCGCGTGGCTGATTTCTGTTTACTTTTGGGCAGACTCGGAAACAAAGGTTTAAAATGAGCAACATAAAAATCACATTTTTTGGGAATCTGCAGGGAGCTGGCACTAGTTTCTCTGATATACTGTTTTGTCACTGCAGAAATCTGGTGGAGATGTGAAGTTAGTACGACACAATGCTTTTGTTTAGGGTACAATGAAGTTTTGATCGTCTGTGAGTCTACTTAAATTCATCGTCATTGCTTAATTTTATTTTTTTTTTACTAAACCCAATGACAGATATGAATAGAACATCAAGACGTTTGTGATTTTAATAAACACATGCTATGCGATTATAACTCTATATGAAAATATAACAGACTTAATGGCCGTTGCTCATAGACTGTATATAAAAGATGAAAGAAGCTACAATGATGTCACCCATTAATTTTTGAAACTGGAAGCATTGAGTTAAGAGTGACTCAGAGGACACTACTAACACCCATATAGTAGCACTTTGTTAATCACAAAGTAGCCCCGCCCCACATGCCCTGCTTTATCGTCTATTTCCCTCTAAATGGGACCATAGTCTACAAAATGAACATCATGCTGTAATAAGGGAGACTGAAAAGTAGAAACGGAGACCATAAAGTCATTTGGAAAATGTTAACTGACCCAGCAAATCAAGTTTAGTCGTGGGTTCATTTATTGAATCTGACTTTTAATTTTTTTTTTTTACAACCAAAAGAGTCCCCCCCTGCTGGCCAACAGAAAGAATGCAGGTTTAAGTCACTTCTGCAATGGCTTCACTTTCCAGACTGCGAGGCTGCGTCTATCTTATACATACAATTCAAAGTTTTGACTCGATTTTTGTTGTTTTTTTTTCTCTCTTTTAATAATTTTCTTACTTGTTTGTAGCAGTTGCTTATTAAATGCTTTATTGCTTTTAATTCGTGACATAGCTTGTGCACAAATTTCAAATCAGCTGCTTGTTTTATCAAAAGACATAATTGCGTGTATAAAGGTGTGATCAAAAAGTTCAATCTTTTCCTTTGAAGAGCAGAAACCGCATCTGACTTAAATTCAACCGCCATCCCTTCCCTTTCAATGTAGTCTCCTGGTGCAGCGATACACCGCTCCTGGTGTTTCTGTAACACTTGGAAGACCTGGTCAGTTCATACATCAAGCATCACCAAGTAGCCCAATCTGACACACAGGGACTGGGGGGAGCAACGATTGTGCCACAATTCAGGTGGTTTCTTCTTAATCAGGTGCCTCAGAACTTTACAGTAGAGGTGACAGTCTGACCGTCGGGATGAATTCATGAGCATCCTCTTTGTGTGCTCCTGACCTGACTCTCCTCCTCCTTCTGTGGTCTCAGAGGCTGCAGGTTGGCTGATCCTGAGTTAACACAAGATCCTCAGAGACTTTGACTCAGTGTTATTTCAGACAAAAACGTCACCGGTCTCCCAATGTTGATCGCTCAACGTCATGCAGAATCCTGACTCACGAGTTACTGCTCGCATCTGTTGCATGCGCATCACTGTGCTGCAAACCATTCTTACACGATAGGAAGAGTATCTTTTTGATCGCACTCTGTACTTGTACGTCTTGCTTTGTGGGGACCAATTTGTCTTTTGAGGACAGTGTTGCAGAGTGAGGACATTTTAGATGATCCTCAAACGGCTGTTTGAAGGCTCAAACTTGGCCTTAAGGTGTGTGTGTGTGTGTGTGTGTGTGTGTGTGTGTGTGTGCGGTTCATACCTCCATGGAGCAACAGAGGACTGCATCTTCCTTAACATCTGTTGACTCGAGCAGCTACGAAAAACAAGAACAGACACAACATGACTATACTGAGAAACCAAAGTGCTGCTCAACATAAAACCAGAGAAATCCAAATGCAGCAACATCAAGAAGTCAAGCACAGTGAGTGAGCAAAACCCAGAAGGCCAGAAGATATATAAATATATGTATATGTGGATTTAAACAACATGGGGAGATTAGGCAAACGCAAGTGTTTGTGTGTCTTAATCAGTTCACAAGAAAAGGGAATAGAAAGACCTAATCCTGATTGTAAATATTTTCAACATTAACATATTAAATCTTGGAAGACAACAGAGCAGGCTTTCAGCCTGGCAAGCTAGTAAACATCACACATCAAGGCTTGCTTTATGCACAATGTACATAGACACACATAAATGCACAGACACACTGTAAACACACAGTGTAGCCAAAGACAAACAGTGGAGCTGGTAAACATGCTAGCTGGCTTTTCCCCACGCTGGCCCCATGCACAGATGGGCATACAACTGGCACTTTCAGACAATGCAGGGGGAGACTGTGACAAAGGGAGGCAGAACAACACAGAGCCGAAACTTTGAGCATCGAGTGTCAGATTACGGCAGAAAGGAATTTGGTTAAATACTCTTTTTTTTGGTAACTCCAAAACTGCTCTGTTTCTCACAAACTGTTCACTGAGTGCTGCTTTGATTAACCTGAATGAGAGAAGGAAGTAAGCAGGAGGAAGTTGGACAGGGTTTTCAAAATGAGGAAAATAAAGTGCAAGTGCAGGGTACAGGCACACAGTGAAGGAAAAAATATGAGAGCTTTATATGAAAACACAGGAAATCTCTGTGTTTAGGAGAAGGATCAGTGATTGGAATGAGTCTTAAATCTGTATTTTTTGTTATAATAACAGTGTAGAAAAACAAGGCTGGTAGTGATGAACCAACAGACAATTGTCACGTGAATCTGCAGCTCCCTTCTGCAGTACTTGGAGGACCGGCCCACAACCTAATGGTGTTGGGTCACTTGCACCACTGTCATAATGCTATTTTTATTTGCCGCAGTTCTTCGTCAAAAAGCTGTAAAACCTACTGTACACAAGCAGGTCAGCTCCAAACATCAGACAGACGCAGTGAGCAGCTAACGGGTCAACATAGTGGAGCGTTTAGCTGCCAAGTTCAGATGTTTTTCTCAGGAGTTGATAGAGAACAGAAGAGTGAATATCTGACTTAAATTCACCAAATTGACTTCAAATAAACGCGAATGTTTCTCTTTCAATAAAAGCTAATGTGTAAATAGAGTTCATTTGCCAACAAGTTCACTGCACCGATTTAAAAGGTTAGGATTCATCAATAGCTGTGCTTCCATAACATATTTTGAAGTATCGCATCAGAATGTGATGTCGTCTACACTCTCACCTTCTGGCAACACTATGCGGCTTCATTAGTATGCTTCAAAGCTGTCAGATAAAGCAAGAATAATTTGTCTTCTTTCAATGATTCGTTGTTGAGCCTTCTCTAAAGTTCACTTCAGTTTCGCTCGACAACTACATGCAAACTCGGCTACGGTTGTGTTTACAGCCTGCTTGTGCTGCTCCAGAGTTAGTAAAAACAATTTATTGCAGGTTTAAATCAAAAGGATTAAACTAAAGAATAGCAAATGCATGTTTGTGCTTTTAGTTGAGGATATAGAGGTGCTTGGACACAGCTGATGGAGCCTCCCTGCTGTATGCATCGAAGCAAAATAACCCTGCATTTCACTTTACCGCACAGTAGACAAACTAAAGTCGCTTTAAAAAAAGTGCTCTAATAAAAACACTGTCATAAAAATGTCTTCAATAGTGAAGAAGGAACAAGAATCACCACCATCTGATGCTGCGATCAACATTCAGTCTGCCGGCCTCTTCTTTCCACACTGTAAGCTTAATGGTATTCCACCTATCATTCAGGGCCAGCAGTTGCACAGACGTCAGCTCCTCAGTATGCTTAGACGGGCGTGGTGACAATGTGGCTGTTTGATGTGGGAACTCAAGTCCCGCCGTTTCCAGAGTAGGAGAACTATGTGACAAGCAGGATTAGCTCATAATGAGTTCTCTGGGGAGCCGAGGGTGAAGTTTTACTCAATACATTTAAAATGGTCTAATCTATACTCATCTATCATCAGCTCTCCTCTTCACTGCCACAGCTTTTTCTTCTCCGTCTCTCCGATGCATTAGCTCTCCTCTGTAGCTGCCGCACCACTACTTACATTCCATCCCTCCGCATTACCTTTGTTTTTAAGTAGAAAAGGAACAGCTGCAGAAAAAAACAGTTTCTGTGAGAACGCTCAACACGCCACCTCTCCTGCTGAAGCTGAACACAGATGTCTGCTTCGTTACATCATCAAATAAGAAATCTCGCAGCACTGGGAAACCTCGGGATTCTGTGTGATTTCCATTTACTGTATTTTCATTCAAAAGACATTTGATCAGGAACATAAAAAGCAACAAAAACTAGGACAGCTGTGATCCTCTCGTCGAGCCGACTGGAAGGAATGCATCCAACAACAACACCTCGAGTGACTCAGGGAAGTCGACATGAGAAACATCCTCATTCATGCAAATTTTCTTTCGAGGCTTTATCTGTTTGACCTCGTTTCTCAAACACGTCTGTTAGAATATGTCGAAACCAGTCATCTTATCTTTGACGGCAAAAAAAAAATAAAAGGTGAACCAGCCCCGGGAGGAACGCAAGAACCATCATGGCACTAATGACACAGTGTACTCAAAGTCAAAACTCAACTTTAACTGTGTTTCCAGTCGTTGCATAGCAACAGCACGTCCACAGGACGAGCTCTTCCTGTAGTTACATTACATAATATTACTACATTTCTGTTGCATCAGATCTGTGCTTTATTAACTACTCAACAAAAAGGCCTATAAACAAAACAAGATCGAAAATATGCTCGACTGTGACGGCCCATGCTGACTTTTAAAGAGGGATACCAAGGCACCGTATAAATAGCTCCTGATGTCACCCTCAGACACAGTGTACAGTATGTGCATGCTTTCTGCAGTGTGCAACTGCAAACCAATATCCTGATGACGGCTTCTGTGGGCCACATGCAAGTCATTTGCCTCAATAAACGATATGTGTTACATGTTGACTTAAGTTGCCTGCCACCTGCCCTCAGACTGACCAGGACTTTTAGACAAGGGAGCGCGCTTCCTTTTTTATACGGATGCATTTGTTCGTGCCTTTGTTTTGTTTTATGGTGAGATTTAATAAAAATAATAGAGTTATTCCATCCTCCCTGTGCAGCTTCAAACAGAATACTACAATTTCTACTAGAGTGTGCGTAAATACTAATTCCTGATTTGCTTCAGTAAGTGAATTTAAACTGTTTAGGGCACAAGTCTATTGGCTCAGCGTCTGTTCTAAATATACACGCTCAACACAAAGTTTCTTACCAACCTATGTAACCACGGTAACATGCTGAAACAGTAGCAGGAAAAAGCAGGGAGATCTTTTCCTTTACACATTTCTGATAAGCTTAAAACATTAAAAAGATCAGTTTCTATTTGAAGTGTGCCTCTTTGTGCACACAGCTGTGGAATGTCAAACCTCCTTAAAACTCTGACTTGTTCTAAGTACCTGTAATCAGTATTTTTTGAATACCAACAATTGTGTAAAACAATGTGAAAGGCTTCACTCACAGTGATGGACGTGGATTCAATTGTCACCTCAATCTTGAGATTCTGCTCGTTATTTAACTGCCTGGCCTGCAACTTCACTGTTTCGCTTTACTCTCATAGCATTATTTTTCAGCTGCAGCAGGCAGCCAAAGAACTGTGATAAACCCACTGTAAACTACCTGCTCAACATCAAACAGCAGACAAAAGCTGTGTTTCCACTGCAGGAGCTTTCCCCGGGGACTGGGAACCTTTGGAGGAACTCACAGGGTTTCCACCGCAGGGACTCGCATCTAAATAAAGTTCCCAGGAAATGATTTTACCCCCCATAAAGTCCCTGCTTTGGAGAAAGTATTTTTCAAAAGCACAGAAACTTTGTTGGGTCTTGCAACACTGAATATTTCTGATTGCTCTGGAACTCAATGCATTTTTATTTATTGAAAAAAAATCTGTAGCTGTATGTACGACATGCAAAACATGATGAGGAAAAACAGCTGTCACTTTTCATATACCTGCAGGCAAGAACATTTGTTGGTTAAATTGCAGACAACCAACAATCTGAAGGAAACTTGAAAAAAGTTGCGGATACTTTGAGTGGAAAAGTGGTTCAAGTTGGTAACTATCGTGTGAACCCAGTGGAGCATGTAGCAGCTATGTAAGCAAAATTAGATTAGATGAGATTAGATATAACTTTATTGATCCCTTTGGTAGGGTACCTCAGGGGAAAAAACAGAGCTAAAAGGGAGAAAATACATCACAAGCATGAACCAAACGTCCAGTGACCACAGTGCGTAAGAGAAGACGTTACAATTAATTCAATTCAAACTTAGCTAAGTATTTTGTATGTCAACTGTAACGCAAAACAAACAAAAAAACTCGTGGGCGGTGTGAGAACGCTCTCCCATTAGACGATTGCGACTGTCAGGCATGAATGGATGAGATCACTGCTCATTAACTTGCCCTGTCTAAACATACAGCTGTCATTTATACCTAAACACACTCACTGACACACCTCGGTTGTTACCTAATCCTGTTCTGCAGGCTACATCTACAGAAGACAGCCGCTGCAAAAATGTACCGCCGTACACACATATGCAGGCACATATGCTTGCATATGCAAACACACACGCTGACACACACACATGGAGCAGTGTGCACATTATGGCACATAGCTTGTAGCTGGAATCTGACAACGTAACAAGAGGATAGTCAAAACAGCAGACAGATCAAAGTCAGTAACAATGGCTCTGGGAAACAGAGACTGTCAAATGAGCACATGGGCTCACAGCTACACACATGTAAAATCCTATAAATATTTTGACGTCGCTCGCATGCACATTCAGCAGGCTACGTATGGCACTGCTGATGCTGGAATATGGAGGTGTGTTTGTGTGTATTTCTGACTTGTTACTCCACACCCTTGTACATGCTGCCGAGCCTTTTAACAAGCTGAGATAATGCCCTGGGCATACCCTCAGACAGGGTGTGGATGACATTAGCTGTGTGTGCGATTGTAGTGTTTGTTAACGAGACGCTGGGTGTGTGTTAAGTGCCAGACTGACAGAGGTGTGGACACGGGTGGTAAAACTTGCTGGCACGTGCCTCAACACCTGCCATTATTTCTTCCTCTTGCTCAAACTACGTATTAAAAAGCAATTTTCGCTCCCAGATTTCTTTTATCCCATCGTCTTTTCTACCTGTCATGCCATGAGTAAACTTCCTCTGTGCTAACTGTCGACCTGACCACAGTCTCCTGCGCTTCCTCTCACCTCCCTCCCCCGACTTGCTTCCCCTTTCAATATTCCATCTGTTGTTAACCACTTCTGTATCGCGGCGCGTCTGCTGTGGCTGCCCTATATGGTTTCCATGGTGACTGGGGGAGTGTGTGTAAGAGAGCATGAGCAGCTGATGAGAAATGAACCTGGGGTCACACATTTTCCTGGAACTGATGGTGTCCTGACTCTTTGCACCACTAACCAAACCCCACTGTGGTGTCTTGAGTCTAGACTAGGTCTGGCCAAAAACAGGAAACTCCGGCTTGTTGCACATATCGAACTGAACAGACAAGATGTGCAAACGCCGCTGGACGTTTTCCTCTTACTGGAATACGCGGATGGTGCCGATCGATTTGGCTATCGACGTACTTATTGATAAATAAAAACTGGATACAGACCTCTCGTAAGCATGTGTAGATGGGACACACCAGCACCCTGAATGGCTCGCTGGAGCTGCTCCTCATGGTACTAAACACCTCGCACAAAAAGGTGATGAAACCTAACCACCGCTCCACATCCGACTGCTGGAGCTCCTCACGACGGGAAAAGTCCCTCTGTGGAGGTGGAGATAAGGGGGGGAAAAAAACATATTTAGTCTGGAAAATACACCAAAACACAAGAGTCAGCTTTTGTAAATGTGTATTACAAGTTCTAAGTAGGCAGCGGGTAGGCGGATATTTAAGTGTTTCATAAATTCATAAGCAGTGGTGGTAAACTATCTTTCCTGGCAGAACCATTAATCACCATTAACACTTTGCTAACTCTCTAATGGGAGTTTTTGTAGGTGGCACTAATATTAACCTTGAGCCCAAAGGTACTTGAATCCCAAACGCAGTTGAAAAACACATTAAGCAAATTCATGAATTTCTTTTATCAGCCAGAAGTAGAGGAGAGTATGTTAATTTAGTATGAAAGCGAAGGGTACTGAACTGTGTCAGTGCTGTAAAAGTGTTGGGGTTAATATAGGTTAATGCTTAATGTGCACTTGTAAAGATGTTATTCAGCAGGTTAAACTGAAACTTTATTAACAGTCAGAGCGCCTCGTTCCGCTTCTCACATTTTTTTCCCAGAGTGTACTGCCGGTTAGGACTGAACTGCTGTGGAAACATGAGCGGCTTGTATTCTCGCACATTTGAACGCTCGCATACGCGGAACGTGCAGCCTTGAATGTGTCCAACTGAAAACTCCCTCCGCTGCCAAAGACAAACACGCTCAGAATCACCGCAGATCTCCAAAGATGTTGACACTTGAACGGCAAGCAAAACAGCAAATTACCGAAGAAAAATAAAAGGACGAAGTGTCAACAACAATAATTGTTGTGTTAAAGAAATGAGCATCTCACAGGTGAAAGACTGGTTACGTTGAAGCGTAGCAACAACAAACCCTGATGCTTCGCTTCTAATAAGCAGAGCAGTCACACACTAATTGCCCCCATATTGAGATCCAGGGGTCTGGAAGCAACATCATTAATGAAGACCTTCATGAGCCCACTTATAACATTTAGAATGTTTCAAAGCAAGAAAGCCAAAATGTCAAAGACAAGGAGGGGGCCTGTGCTGGCTGGGAAGTGGATAATAAAGTGAGAAATAAAAGAAGAGAAGGGACCACACAGCTGTGATAAAGGGGGAGTGAATATGAAGTGGAGAAAGGGCTAAAAGGATCAAGGCGGGATTCGCGGCTGCTGGGTCTGGGATAAAGATCTCAACATCTAAAGAAAGAGGTGTTTAAGTGGGAAAACACAAAAACACAAGGGAGGAGATAAAAGATAAGTCTAGGAGTCTGGTAGAAAAGAGCATCTGCAGGAGAAGAAAACAGGTGAAAGTGAAGGCAAGGAAAAGAAGGAAGCACGGCCAGGCAGCGGGTGGGTTAACATTTAGACCTTGAATGTCATCTGACGACAACGTGTATGTGTTTCTTGTTTGCCCACTTCTGGACTTCCTGCCGCTCTGGGGAGGTTGTCTGACGCTCAGGATGGAGCAAAGGGTGAAAGGGAGGAGTGTGGTTACAGTGAGAGAGGGGATATGGAAACTGTACAGAGGGGGGGAAGTAGCGAGGCATTGGCCCGTGTCGTTCTGGGTGAGGGGAGGCGATAAGACGGGGGAGCGCGAGAATAGAGAGCTCATGAGGGAGGTGAAGGGGGAGAGGACAGGAGTGAGAGGCAGCGAAATAAGTAACGGCTGAGAGGATGTTTTCATCACGGGTGCAAGGCTGGAACTGTGCAGTTAAGTGAAGGGATGGAGGGTGAAGGGGGGGACAGGTCTCCCTCTCCCCCGGGTGTTTGGATTAGCTACTTTGCCCACTGACATTTACAGCGTCTCACACACACAGTTGGTTTCCACCTGAAAGTTGTCATAAACCAAGCTTGGATGAAGGATTTTTGTAAAACCAAAGACTTTAAAAATGACTGGTTTGCTGAATAACATCTAGTGCATTAGCAAGTGTGTCTCGCTTATTATAGGCAATAAAAGGGCATTTTAGGAGCATCTTGTTTACAGTAACTGATGCCTTTCTTGGGATATTAGAGTCGGTACACAAAGTAGGACGGTAACAAATAAAAAATGTAAGTAAGTAGAATATCAATAGTATGTGGAGGCCAACCATGTTCTCCCAGTATTGGTAACAACTGGGTGCACTTTGAAAAATATTATAAATGTTAATTCCAGGTTTTAAAAACAACAACCTTGATACAATTATTTAAAGACATTCAACTTAAATTTTTTATGATTTCTGATGATATAACTGCACAAAAGACATTTTTGTTTTCTCTCTACTTGTAGCCATTGTTGTGCTGTTTCTATAGAGCTGCAGGACTTTTTACTGCAGTAACAAACAAGCCAGCAGTGAATAAGGTGACATTTTTACACTAAATGTTGGGTCAAAAAGTCTAATCCCAAAGATGACGTATAAAAAGAAGGCAGCATTAATAGAATGTTTTGCATTGTTTGCTTTAAAATTGACTTCAACAGTTCAATATTAAAGCTCATGCTGAACATTTTTCTGCTGTGTTGCACGAGTGTTTCAGGATTAATTGTAGCTTTAATGTAAATCAACTGTGCCAGACTTTTACAGGTCTGTTGAGAGAGTCAGTGTCAAGCTTTAATAAAGCCGTCAAAATACATTCCAAAACATGTCTTTTAGAGTTGAGATTCAGTTTTAACCACAGACTAGATGCTTCGTCAGCTTGTTATCGAGGCTGTGGCTTATTTCACAATTCTGCAGCCAGTTAGAACATCAACAAAGCTGTGGTAAAGGAGTGCTCTGACTTTTCACAGAAGTTCAAGTAGAAAGTCTCTGTTACAAGTCAGTCAGTAAGGACTGTGGTGGTGATTTAAAAAAAAATGATTAAAAATGTGCAAGGCAGGCGTGCAAATTTAATGAATTGAAGGAAATAATTAAGAAAAGTTAAGTAAAGCTTTAAACTGGAAGGTGCTGCGGTGAAAACTGATTTCTGACCGGCCTTCTCACCTGCAGCATGTTGAGCAGCAGCGACCTGAACTTGGTCCCCTCCACCATGAACAGCGCCATCTTGTCGCAGAGCTTGGCGGCTGTTGCGGCGAAGCTCCTGTCTGACACGGCCTTGGAGTAGATGGTGCTGACCACCTGAGCCAGGGTCTCCTCGGACCGTGCCGAGCACTGCGCCTCCTCCATGAAGGAGGCCAGCTGCTGCTCCACCCCGCTGCTGTTGCTCCTCATGCTGTTGAGAAGGTCCACCAGCCGGTCCATGCTCCGCGATCCGGAGCCCGAGTTCTCCACGCGTGCCTCCTCCTGAGGTGAGACATGAGATGAGCAACATGAGTGGTAGGTGACTGGTGAATAGAGCCTGGATATTGTTGGAGATGGTGTCAATGTTAGAAGATTCAAACTCTAATACTGATATACGAGACAATACTGTTTATATGCTACACTTGTAGAATGTTACATATTGAAAAGAGAAGGCTATAGAGGTGTTGTTTATTAACCCTCAGCTAATGTATTTCACAAGCTTGTTCGCAACTTACTATGAAGACAAAGCTTGACTCAGCTGTGACACATGCTCTGCTACATGTGCTGCAGATAGTGTTGACAGTGTTTCAAACAATGCAGACTCTGCTGGACAAACTATGTGATGACACAGTTTCTAAATTATCCCAAGCATCTCTTTTTTTGTGCATTATGCTCTGCAAAGGACAGTTTTCATATTAGCATAAATCAGCCAATATACACGCTGATACCAATAAATCTCTAACAGACCAATATCAGATGATAATCTCGGCTAACTGATTTATCGGGTGGGCTCTCCTGGTGACGATACAATATTCACCACCGAGGTGTTTATAAAAAGAAATAAATGGTGTCAGATAGGGACTTTTTATTATCTGGGAAATGCTGCTCTAGTGAAAAAAAATCCTGACTTATTAAAGTGCATTTGTAGCGTTTGCGTCACTCAAATGTGGTAGTGTTTTACTATTTTAATATAATATTCTATATAGACTATTTCAGTAAATTGCCACTGTATCTAAGTGTCATAGCAGGAGCTGGACAGTTAATACATTATTAAAAACCATCTCTTCTACTATTCTTCTAAATGCCTAGCTATCTATTTTAGGTGTTGATTTATTACTTTTAATAATTTTCATGCACTCTAAACCGTTTTCGTCAGATAAACTTAGCTACTTTATTATCTTTTCATGTACTTCCTCAGGCACAGGAACTCTTGTTTGCAATTACTGTGCTAAAATATGCAAAACAAATGACACTTCCCATTTACGTGGGGCGCCAGACAGCACATGACATGACACTGAGTCAATATTGTGTGAGGTAACCGATGTGCTAAAGTTTTGTAATTTGTGAGAAATATTAAAAAAGATCGAGCAGAGATGAAATGACCACATTTATATGGATTCAGTAGTTGCATATGCTGAAAGTTGAGCTGAATGCCCTTTGCTAAGTCTGCGAGCTATGAAAAAATCATGACGCAAAGATTAAAAAGGTCCAGCAAGTCCACTTAAATCAAGCAAAGGCTGGCTTCCTAGACTGGATTCATTGATTCACTGGCATCACTAAGGATATGTTTATTAATTCCTGCATTGCTGCCTGTTGGGAAGTCCTGTGCTGTCAAATCAATCCCCTCCTGGTGCTAATGAGTTAGCTGTAGAAGGAGGAAGCTGAGCGCAGTAACACAGTTGGCCGACTCATCAGTTTAGTGCACAGTGGAAAACATCAAAAACTGTTAGGCTAATGCCGCTTTAGTTTCTTCACCTCCTTAGCGAGAACATGCACTCCCCTCCCTGCCAGTCTGGGTGTGTGTCAGCCTGAATGCTAAATAAATAAGTAGGCAAATGATTCAAGCATGGTAGTGTGGGAAAAAGTGTGTCTGCCTGTGTGTATATTAACGACGGGAGTGTGTCCGTTTGTGAACGCAGTGGAAGTAATTATAAGACCAAATGGTGGTGTGTGTGTACACATATGCATCAATCCTGGTTGCCTTAATACTGACTGACAGGTACTAAGCAGCTTTTCGGTACCTTGTCCTTTAGTCTCCTCCTCAGCCTTTCCTTTGACGACTGCAGCAGGCTGATTTTGGGCTGCTCCGACTGGCCCTCGCTTGCCTTTCCACTTCGCGGTGGGTTGGGAGACTCCTTGTTAACTGTCAGGTCTGGGAAAACATTTGAACTGGGCGCTGAGTCAGATTTGGGTGATTCATTGGGACTCTTACTGCTGCAGTCTTGAGGTGATCTGATCTGCTCATCACCCAGTTTTACATTCTCAGTCTCTTTGTCTTTGGTTGTTCTTGGGGGTACTCCTTTATCACCTGCAGCGTTTGTCTGTCCGTGTCCCTGACCTTTCTGATTGTGGTGCCAACGCCGGTTCTGGCTGTATCCGTGGTGTGGGGGTCCTCCTTGGCGCTGCCCATGTCCTCCTTGGTACTGGCGAGGCGGCCGACCGGCGCTATTGTTTCTGTTATCTCCCAGTTCTATTAAATTCGGCTGCTGTTGGTTTGGAGACTGTTGCTGGGGTTGAGCCCTCTGCTGCTGTGGTGACTGTTGCTGTACCTGCTGAGGCTGGTTCTTTCCTCCTCCGCCTCCACCACCACCTCCACCTCCTCCTCCGCCTCCTCCTCCTCCTCCTCCCTGAGGCCGCTGCTGTCTCCTGAAATGAGAGAGCAGGTTTCAGTTACCTTCATGATGTTGTAGGAGCAGCTGACCTGTACCTTCAACTAATCTGTGCCCCTTACTCATCACCTCACAGAGATACTCCTGCAAATGTTACTGTGACAAGTGAAAAACCATGTTAAAGTCGTCATCTACTGAACTACGAACTACAAAATCTGAAGTCCAGTGCCTGCTTACATGTGGATGCACAGTGTGCCTGTGTTTTCCTGTCCTGCATCGCTGTGTCGTTTTGCTGCACTGGCTCTGGGCTTGACAAGCCGCTGACATATGGTCCAGGGGATTAGTCACTCTGGCACCGAGGAGGCAACCTATTATCTGCCTCAACCCGTGAACTTGCACAAACTCAACTAGCAGCAGCTAACTCACCTTTGTTCAGATTCACTGAACTCTAGAAGTGCTTTGACTCTAAAACTTTACAAGCTGTGTATAAATTCAATTTACTACTACTACTATGAGTACTATTACTACGATTTACACAATAACGAATGTGTAAGCAAATATACATGGGTCAGTTGAACAGTTTGAATATTTCACCGAAAAGTAAGAAACCAAAAGACAAAGCTGAACTCGACTGCTAATCAGCATGTTTTAGCAGCCAGACATGCTTCTATGCAGGGAAACTTGCTTCACTTCCAACCCAGGGACTTTCCAAATCTGCTACACAGCATCTCCCCCGTTTGCCTAACGTTAAGGTTTTTTTTATGTAATCAAACTAAACATTCTAAAAGACTGTGCTGCACTTTAATAATAAAGTAGAAATGCTGCTATGAAGTTGTAAGGCGTGTTGAAACACAAATGACTTGTTATGCCACTAAATAACACAACAAATAAGATGAATCATCAAAAGCGACAGCACCTCTGTCTGATTTTAAGTAAGTATAGTACATACATTTGCAATTTTTAACCAGTTTGCATTAGATACTACAACACTCAGGCTTGAAGCTGGACTGGATATGAAGTACTTAAAGATTTACGTGTGTGTGCAGAAACACAGATGAACACACACAAAGCCACAGTCTGCAGCCACACACACTGAACATCACTAAAAATCACACATAGTGATTTTAATGTCAATTGCTGAAGTGTTGACAATTTTGTAAAATATTTAAAAGTATTATTCCGGGCACTCCACGAGAGCCAAATGGTACAACAAAAATATTCAATTCAGCCACTGTGGGACGTTTTAGCACCATTCTCTTTAGGACGCTTCTCCGCAAAAGCCCACTTTCTTCTTATAGCCGGATTTATAGAAGCCTTTGCTTGTGAGCACCATCTCATCTTCTTGCCAGTAAGGAAATTCCAAAAGACATAATTCCTAATTCTTATTTGGAAATAGCACATCCTAAGATACACACATTTTTGAGCATGAATTCCATCTTGAATATGAGAGTGGACAGTGTGAATATCCGTTATTGATTGACGTAAGGATTTTGTCTTTCAGCTACAAGTCTTATGTAATTTTTTTTCTATATGTATACTCCTGTTCATAGGTGTGCATGTGGGAAAAGTGCTAAAATGCTGACTGAAGTGTAAAACGTCTGCTGTAAAGAAATACCAAAGATAACGTAGCTGGTAAAATTCCCAGCTGTTGCCAAAAAAACTGTAGAATTCCTCCCAGCACCGGTGCTTAATTGTATGATGGAGCACATTGAAATGCCCATAATGCTAGATAAACTGTTTAACAAAAACGTGGACATGCATTTACCAAGAAGACTTGCTGTGCCTGTAGCAGATAAAAGAAATCTGTACCGAGCAGATGACGGGGTAAAAAAAAAAAAAAGGGAAAAAAAGCAGTAAAACTTATTTTCCAACAGGTATTATTTTTACATACGTTTACCTTATTATTTGAAATTTTGTGACATCACACACACACACACACCTACACACACACACACAACAGAAAATAGGAAAATCATAATAGATCCTTTAAGCACACACAAAAAAGGCAGAAAATCATCACATTAATATAACATACATAATTATATTCTGAGTACCTATACATGGACGATAGATGGACAACAACCCTTTTGAGTACATTAAAAGTTCTGTTTGCATTCATACCCAGTGTCAGAATAGAATAACATGAACAAGGTTTCTTGAATAAACAGAAATCACAAAAAAAGATGGAGACAAAAGCCAAATCTGTGACCCCATGGGGCTACATGAGTCTTGTGGGAGGTTGGATTGATGTGCACAGAAAGGTAACTTTCCTCAAGGGGTCCTCAATGCCAAGATTTCAATGTGGGCTTCTTCTTTTTTTTTTATTCCTCACAAAATCTTTTCCTTTCAGTTTTTCAATTTAGCAGACCTTCAACAGCTTGATTTTTAGACAAAATATATATATATATATATAAAAAAAAATGATTGAACAAACCTGACATTTCTGAAGCCACATGAAAAAAACACACACAAACTGTTCTATCCTGTGAAAGAGAATTTTGTGACACGATCATACTCAAAAGTTCAGCTCCAATCCTCTTTTGCAAAAATGTTCACTCAACCCCAAATAGCTTAACATAAAAACAACCTTGGAAATTTTCTTTGCGCTTAAAAGAAGTCTATTTACACTGATCAGCCAGCCACAATGTTCTAACCATCTGCCTAATGTTGCCGCGAAAACAGCTCTGACCCATGGGGGCATGGACTCCACAAGACCTCCAAAAGTGTTTTGTGGTGTCAGGCATCAATGCGTTAGCAGCAGATTCTGATTGAACAGTTTGCCTCCTGCAGTTGCGTCTGCTGTTTTTCTCTTTTTTTGTTAATCTTTCACTGTTCTATCACTTTTATTGCCCAACAAGCCCGACATCTTAAATCGTTTTTTTGTTGTTGTTTTCCAGACACTGTTTCAAGGTAATCTGTGGCTGATGAAGGAATCCCTGTGGGATTCAGATCTGAGGACTTTGGAGACCTTGAAGTCTCTGCCACGTTCCTCTAACTATTCCTGAACAATTTCTGCAGTGTGGCACAGAGCATTATCCTCCAAAAAGAGGCCTCTGCAATCAGGGAATACTGTTCCCATGAAGGGGCGTAGTTGTTTGGCAGCAATGTGTAGGTAAGTGGTAGGTGTCAAAGCAACACCCACATGAGGTCCAGGACACAAGGTCTGCCAGCAGAACTTTGCCCAGAGCATCACATTGCCTTAACTGGCTTTCCTTCTTCCCCCATCCTGCCACCATCTTTTTCTTGGATACAACTTCCACTTCTAAGTCTCGTGTGCACATTGTAGGAGCTTTCAACAGTGGACAGTGGTCAGCGTGAACACACTGACCCCATATGCAGCAAGCTGTGATGAACTGTGTGTTCCAACACTTTTCTATCATTTTCACCATTAAGGTTTTTGCTGCAGTAGCACCAGTGGCCCTTCCTTGGACCACTTCTGGTAGATACCAACCACCGCATACCAGGAACACCCCACAAGACCTGCTGTGTTTGAAATGAGCTGACCCAGTTGTCTATCCATCACAACTGGCTCTTGTCAGCATGGCTCAGATTCTTACACTTGTCCCTTTTTCCTGCTTACAACACACCAACTTAAAGCCCCGACTGTTCACTTGCTGCCTGATATATCCCCTCCCCTGCCAATGTGATGACATAATCAATAATAGTCACTTCCCTTACCAGTGGTTTTACTGTGGTGGATAATTAATGTATTTTACACAGTGGTTGAACACGATAACAGAAACACGTGTATCTTTAACTTACTGTAGTTTTCCTGTAAAAAAATACTACTTTGTAAAGATTTACCTCTGATAAGTTTTCAGAATGCTGTATTTGATTAACTGATAGTGAAAACTTTATTGTCGCCAATGGGGAAAACGATTTAAACTAAAAAACCCATATAAATGAAAAGTGTGAATGATTCCATTTTGGTTTGGTCTCAATCATTGTGGTCACTGATTATGGTCACTCAACGATTACAAAGGATAGGAGTGGTGTTGTGCAGTGTGGCAATGGTCTTATCAACGCGACGTGATGGGACTGTATGGCTTGAGGAGGATGGAAAAGATGTTAAACAAATGCTGAGACATCCTCAGCCAGTACTCTCAAATTAAGAGAATACTTATGGAAGATTCTGGACTGTTGTGATAGTCGGTAGCCTGACCGTCTAAACTGCTGCCCACATCTCTGACACGATCAGCGAGTCAAGTACTGTTATGGCCAGCGGCGGTGTTTTTCCTAGATGGAGAAACAGTGGACCAGTCTGAGTATAGTGGGCGGGATCAAGAATATTTACATTCATGAAAAACAGTGAGCGAAGACGAGCAAGAAGCCTGGATGATACCGCTGTACGGTCCTGTTATTTCATACCTTGTGTAACATTTTATTTTCAGTGTTTTTGTAAAGCCCACGACCCCAGTGAGGGTTAAATAGATAATGGATGGATGGATGTTTTTGTAAACTTTCGATGCTTCCAGGTTCTCAGACATGAGAATTTGTATTTTTTTTTTTCATTTTGCTGATCAGCAATTTAATATATTTCTGACAAAACCAGAGATTTGATAATTTCACCTCAGATGTGGGCATTGGAATGACAAATGTTCTGTATTTCATAGTTTTCTGGTGTTTTGTTCTGTAGACCAAATTACTTTTAAACAAAGCAGATTAACAGTTATTGAAATTAAACCACATTGTTTTAAAAGCTTGTCAAGAAAAACAGAACATTTCAGTTTTATATTCCTCATTGATCAATCCAGCAATTTCTTTTTAATTGCTGAAATCTACAACATGTCAGAAAAGAATGACAACTGCCTTGTTTGTCCAAGCAATTTAAAAATCCAAAATATGTGGAATTTAATATGTCACAACAAAAACAACACGTTTTCACAGATCTAGAGTGAAACTTGTAGTCGTATGTGTGTGTGTTTTAAAGAAGAACTAGAGAAATGCCCAAATGTATTTATAGGTTTTTTTCCAGTGTTCATGTGGTTTATGTTTTGCCTGGCCGCTGTGTTCCACTCTCTTAGGGAGGTTGGGAGACAGTTCATCTTCCAACTCGTCTCTACCCAACTCCATCAATTCATAAATATTCTGTCTCAGCCAGATCTGCGCCAACCGTACAGGTTTTTAATCTCATCCCTTCTGTACAGAATAGAAAGACGATGCTGTCTCGCCACGTATTTCCACGATCATACTAGTTTCAGATGCTTTTGCTTTTACATCAAACACTAACTCCAGTATATAGCTTTTCGTGATGGTTTTAATATTTTACTGGTGCCCTACTTAATCATACAACACGGCACTTACTGTCATTTTTTTTCCCAGCAGCAGTCATTCATGGTGGCGTCTGAAATGATTCATTTAAAGAGAAACAATGCAGCATGTAATCCAGCCTAATTGTAAGTTTATCTCATTGATAACAGCCTCGTTGTTTGCTGTTTACTTTCCTACCAGCCATATCAGCTGTATTAAGTTACTGCCAAAGTGAACTGAACATGTTTTACTGCTGCTTTACATTAAAGGCCTTTCACTGGCACGACACACGATGGCCTTTAATCTGAAGCAGTCCCGAAGGAAGCAGCGTATTTATCACAGACCTCCTAAAATTGCTCATCCAAACGTGTGTGTATGAAACTAGACAGGGTATTTTCTGCGTATTTAGCAAAGTGACCGACCCAACTAAACTCCGTTCTGGTGCTGTGTGGAAAATTACTTCTGCTGTGTGCAACACGAGAACAAATTGAAACAAGAAGTTTGTTTGGTTGCACTGTAAACAGATACACTTGTTGCTCCTCTGTTGGATTTTTTTGATGAAGTAGATGCTTTCAGAGTGTTTGCAGAAGTCTTAAACTGCTCTCGCTGTTACCACGGTAACCACAGGTGTTGCCACATCAACCAGGGACGGAAATCTGAAGGATTAGAACTTCAACGTTGACTGACAGAAATGGTGAGATCTCATTTACTTTGACTTATAGAGAGTGAGATTTCCTAATCTCGAGCTAAGCCGTAGACTGCTCAGACTGTTGAAGAATACGACATTTCTCTTTTTTGAAAACACACACACACACACACACATTCACCGATCTGGTGATTCACTGAATCTCCGCAGCCGCTGTTAGTTTAGGCTCAGCTCTAATAAGCCGTTCTCCTGATCCACTGGTGATGTAGAGGGGTGAGAGCGAGACAGTAATAAAATGTTAATCATATTTAATGACTGCGAGCTCGGCAGTAGCTTGAGTGTTGCTCAGATTGACCATCCATCAGTCACATTACTGCCAAGGAGATGTTTGCATTAAGGATGAATGATGGGGCCAGTGATGAAATTTCATCTCACAATATCTTGTTACTTAGAAACAGACCTGACTCTGGCGTGATCAAGCATCTAATCACTTGAGAAATTACGTCCTTTTTTTTTTTTTTTGGTTGGGATGATGAGTCTGGTAATTTTAAGGTATTAATCAGGTTTAAATTGGCATTTGATGTTGCGTGGCGGGTCCTGCCTGACATCCCACCTTCTTATTTTGAGCTTGTTGAGTATTTGATGGGAAAAAGGCACCAATTATTACCTGACCTTTGGATGTTTTGTCGAGCACAAACAAATAAAATGCAATTTCTACTCATTCCTCAAAAAGGTCAAATATGTACATCGGTCCCATTTTGCTCCAGAGATCTTGCTTATGTTGTCACTGACCTGGCTGAGACTTGCCGCCTTCCCCCTGGGCCAGTGGGTAGAAGTATGGTTAACTGGTCTCGGGAGAACTGATCAAACACTCTACAAGCAGGAGAGAGGGGTTTGCCACAATGCAGGTGATTGGAAGGATGAAGAGATAAAAGGATAGATGAAGAGTGGAGTAAAGTGGCAGGACAATTTGTAGGAAACGGCAGGGAATTTTGATAGATGCCGTAAAGAAAAAGATAGGAGATTGTAGAGGGGGGGGAAAGCAAAAAGCAAAGAGGAAAAAAAAAAACAAAAACAAAAAAGCTACAGGTTGATAACTATGTCATATGAAACAACATGCACAGAACTACAGGAAGTATAGAAAGGATGCTATGGTAACAAAAAAAAAGGTGAAATTAACTGGCAGATATGATCATGGGAGGAGGCAGGATACTGATGATCAATCATAGCTGTTGCTATGTCCGTGTATGTGGATGGAGAACTCATGGACCCATTGGTTGACCCAGACTGAAGAATCGATTGGCCCAGGGGAAGAGAAGCCTGCAGGCTAGACAGTCGATAACATGGCCGAAGCTTCATATAGGACACAACACACTGGCTTAATGGACTGTGGGGAGAAAGGCTTCGACTGCCTGACTGAACATTTGCATTGCTAAGTCTTAAGATTCAAACTCAGGAACGTACTGAATCTATGAGCATACATGCATGCATAAATATTATTGATTACTCTCAATAACTTTGAGCTATCGTGGTTACAAGCAGGAAAGCAGGCAGTTCGTGGTAGATACAAAAAAAAGCAGACTTGCAGATGTAAAAACAACAAAAGGTGCAATTTACCTTACATATGATGGAATTTATAAAACAAGATTCAGGCGCATCGATCAGCTTAATTAAAGAAGATTGATTATGGCCAATGTTTTATTGTCTGTCAATATTTTTCAGTGTTTGAAATGGTTTCACTTTATCCTCAGTTGTAAAGCACATAGCAGTGTTTTTCCTTGCAGAGAATTTGACTTTGCGAAGTGATAGTAAGATTTGTCTACATACAGTAAAGGCAATGAATCTGTTAGCTTATTTGACAGAAATGCATGCATTTCCATGATATATCTGATCATTTGATGATTAAAAATGTATGTTACACTTCAGAAAATGAAACCTTGAAAAACAAAACTGGATAAAATTTATTTATTTATTTATTCATTTATTTTAAACTCAGTCTTATCATTTTGGTGCTGGTGATTTTTCTTTGGCCAAGACTAATACCTTTTTGGGGGGTACTAAGAAATTGTCTTTGCAGGGAAACTCCGCTGTTTAAAGGGAGTTTCAATATGAGCGCCATGGATTAATCATTGATCATTTTCTGATGTTAAATAATGATGACTAAAATATCACTGACATTATGTTTAAAAGGTACATATTATTAATGTATGAGTCAGGTGCTATAAATAACCTCTGCCATGTGTAATGGGTTCGTGTAGTGACAGCTGCTTGAAGAACATCGCAAATGTGATCAGTGCTGGCAGAAACGCGCTCCGGCCCTTTCAGACACAGTCCGGTTTCCGCTGTGTTCAGCGTACTGTTAGTGTTTTCAAAACTTCTCGTGAGACCTTTAAAAATAATGTGTATTAAAATGACACTTCTTACCTTTTTCAGTTCAGGTCTGTGGAGCTATTGAAGGGGAACACGTAAGCTTTGTTTAAACATGTTGCTGACCTACAACAGGATACCTGACTATTAAAACCTTTAACTGTATGTATTGAGGTTAAAACACACCTGACATGCCTACTTGGATGTAAACCTGTTTCCAAGGTTGGGCTTTTCTTTCAAGGTCTCACTCTTCTTCTTTCTTACAAATACAAACTCGCGCTATATATTTCAGCGTTTCCTTGGTTTTGTCTTGTGTGCTCTGCTGGATGGCTCCTTTCTATTGGGAGTATTTGTACACTTAATTCGAACTTTAGCCACTGTGCAGCAAGCCATTAGATACAGTACGTTTTCAACTCCAATGGCGCCGTTGTTCCATTCTGTCTGTCTTTATTAAAGTCGCTACTGTCAATTTGTAATATGTCACTCTAATTCCACTGTTTTTGGCGGTAATGAGAATGCAATTTACCCGCTTTTGTATTCAAATGATGACTGAAATTTCAATGGGCTCTTTTCTCAGTGCTTTTATCTCGTATGAAAATATTGGTAAAATATGGACATCATTTTTTCTTATTCGAGATCAGAGACAAGAATTTACTTGCGACTTGCACACCAGCTTTATGCACATTACTGAACAGTAATTCTAATATTTACGCACCTACTAAAACAACACACTTCTACAATGCACATCACAAGCGTTAGCACCAGTAACCAAGAAGCCACTCCAACATTTGTCTGCATCAGTAACCCAGATAGAACTAAACTGTCTGATTGCCAGGTATGTTGTGAAAAGTATCCGACCAATGTCAGTTTAAAAAAATGTAAAAACAAAACAAAAAAAAGGACTAATGACAAACAGAAAATGCAGGCACTGCATAGCAAAACTTTCTTCAGCTACCTGGACAAAGAAGAAGCTAAAACAGGTTGAGCTCAAACAGACAACAGAAGGATTAGAAAATGCCTGAACAGTGCATAATAAAGACATTTAAAAGTAATGCAAAAACCTTACTTTTCCAAATGAGTATTACATTTATATGTAATAGTTGTTGATGGAATTTAGTGAATTCTGTATCTAGGAACTGTAGCTCCCCTTTAATTTGCAGTAAATTTTACAAAACTGAATGCAACACTCGACATGGTGGAGTGGGCACAAGGATCAATATGAAAACGAGGGATTCACGACACATCCGCATCCATTTATGACCAACTGTGGGAGTGGAAATCAGGCTTGTGCACGTGCAGCCAGTTCCACAGTGATTGAGATTTATAAAACCGGGACCAGGCCTACACGCAGCTTCATAAATCTGACAAGAAGAATGTGCATATTTGTGTCTTTGTGTGTGCGTACACAGTCATAGTCATGTGTCTGCGCTCAGTTTTATGCATTCGGCTCCTGATGTTTTCTCTTATTTGAGTGCATAAACGCAGGCGCGCATTTAACGTCGCTTTGTTCATAAAACAGATAGCAGAATTGCTACTTGTTGTAATGACATCTCATTCTGCACAAACTGTTTTAAGAAATAAAACAAACATTTAAACTCTCAGTTCAACAGCTCAAATGACAAGTCTGCTCGGCTTATAACAATATTATGTGGAAGCGAGCAGGCAGGCGTAGTGTTTAGTGTTAAAATAGTCTTTCTTCAGTTCAGTGGAAGTGATGTTCACAAAGGGCACTTCTTGCAAGACAGACAAAATAAAGTCTACACGTGTAAAGAGCTCTGCAATAATTAACAGACTTTTTTTTTTCGAGAAAGACCAAAATGTACAAAGAAGGAGCTGATGTGCTGCTTCTTTGTACATTTTCTGTTTTGAAGCAGAAAGCGGTAAGCAGCACATTCCAGTAAATCACAACTAATTTCAGCCCTGCTTGACGTGCCTACTAAAGTAGAAACACATGCACTACCTCCCCTTTCTTTTCCTTCCTGCCACAGCCAGCCTACACTTTTCCTTTACTCAATCTCACAGTCCCACTCTGTTTCTCTTTTCTTGTGCTTTGTTCAGTGCAACCCTCATGCTTCGTACATAAAGTCCAATGATCAATATTTATTTCCATATTTCATCTGCTTCCAGCAACTTTACTTTTTTTTTTTTTTCCCCCCCTCCACCCAGCTGTGTTGATACATGACACACAATAAAAAACACAAAACATAACGCAACGTCTAACATTATCTGTGTGGTTTCTCATTACCGCCTTTGGGCTGCCGGTTTTGTTCTTGTTTGGGAACATGAACCTAAGATATCGACCTACGAGGATCGGCGTGTTTGATAGACAAACACATGCAGCTATTTTATTTGATGAACAAACACTCTGAGCTTCATAAAGAATAGTACGGGGGTAATGACAACTTTAGCTGCCTTTCATTGTGTCAGCTGATCGCTCGTTACTGACCACGCGTTCGTGCAAAGCCTTTAATGCTCTGCAGCAGATTGCACAGCCGTGATGTACCGGGCATATCATATTTAGATTTTTTTCCTGAGTCCCGGCTACTGTGTATAAAAGGCGTACTAACTACCAACTTTGATGACATTCTATTTTGCATTCCTTCTGTTCCACTCGCCTCGTTTCTGTCCTCCCAGTCTTTCTTTGTAATTGTTATGTATTGCAAAAGAAAAACCCCACAGAGATCCCTGATGAATGATTTGGCCAGTTGTTTGGGGAAAGGGTTTGTGAGAACAGTCATAACTTTCTCTTTTCCAGTGTGTCTGCTTTTACTGCAGAGTTGCGCTGATCTCCATTTTATGTCTATCCAGTCTTCTTATCCTCTGCCCCATGCTTCCTTTGATAGTTTTCATCCTTAGCTTCATCCTGCTTTCTCCATTTTTTTTTTTTTTTTGCTGCAGCACAAATGTATTCGGCCAGCCTGTGTGGCGCTCGTCTTTAATGTAAAGAGACAGGAGGCTGAATGTATCCGAAAGCATTACCGCAGAGCAAATGAATGCTAATACTATGCTGTTCTACAGGTTGTAGCCTGGTGGGACATCAGTATCAAAAATTCTTGAACGGCATGGGCCCAACAAAGAAGCAGGTTTAAGGCTTGGAAAAGCAATGTGGAGACATTTTCTTTTAAATCTCCACCATCATACATTTTTTGTCCAGTGATATTGCAGTACTTTCTAGATCCTTAAAGCCTCAGAATAATTTGATGAAAGTAAACCTTGTGATAGCTTTTTGTTGGGGTCTATTTCCAAGTCTAAGATGCTATGGGCACTGTGGTGGCGTCTGCTCTTTTCTATGCAGTGGTCTGCTGGGGAGCAGGGAGCACAGACCGGGACAGAAAGAGGCTAAACAGACTGGTGAGGAGGGCCGGTTCTGTCCTGGACTGCTCCCTGGACCCCATAAAGGAGGTGGGTGAGAGGAGGATGTTAGCAAAGCTCACATCCGTCATGGACAACCCCTCTCACCTGCTGCATGAGACTGTGGGGGCTTTAAGTAGCTCCTTTACCAGCAGACTGAGGCATCCACCCTGCAAGAAGGAGCGCTACCGCAGGTCATTCCTCCCAACTGCAGTAAGACTGAACAACATCAGCAGCACTGGCTGATGGTAACCAAACAGACACAATTAACACATGGTCAAAATTCACTTTTGCACAGCAAATTTGCACAAATCTGTTTCTTTTTCAGTGTAAATATTGCATATATATTTTTCATTTAATTGTATATTATATATGTATATGACATACAAATTCATGAAGCAGTTCTCATTTTTCAACAATTTCCCTGAGGTACCCTACCAAAGGGATCAATAAAGTTATATCTAATCTCTAATGTAATATTGTTGTCATCTTGTGTATATGCGTATTTTATTTTATTACTTAATTATTGTTATTTCCTAGTACTTCTTTTCTATATTTTTGGATGCTGCTGTGGCGTGTACATTTCCCTCAATGGGGGATCAATTAAAAAAAAAAATCTATTCTATTCTATGTTTCAAGGCTGAAGTCTGCAGTTCACCTGGTTGTACTGGTTGCTCGATGTGTTCTCATCCGACCACATTCTCACCCTGCTCGTGTTACTTAAGTAAAAAGAAAAGCGCTACATCCACAGCCTTCCAAGATTACTCCAAAAATCCTTTATTTCACTATTTGTGAACATCCTAAGGTTTTAAAAACTTTGAAACTGCACCAACTAATGCAGGCTGTAGGTCGAACTTATTCCACATTTACTGTCGTGTTGACTCGGCTCCAAATTAATCGACACCAACAAAGTCAACAAAGTCGTCTGTGTGGCTGCGTTTTGTTAACACAGATGGCCAAAAAGTCGAGTGTAAACTTGGCTAACAGCGTTCCACATATCCCAGCTCTACTACCAAAGCGGCAGATCATCTAACAACTGTAGGGCAACTCGTCTGCGCTTTTTTTTTTCCTCCGATAGTTCTTGATCTGAGATCATCAGTTGGTGCAGTTCTGTTTTCAGAAATCACATGAACATGAGCAGGCAAACGCTCGACTGCTTGGAGCCTGTTGTGTCACTTCAGTGTCAAGAGTTAAAAATAAACAAATGTGCTGCAAATATTATATTTTTATGTATGTTTATAATGAATTTAGGCTAAGCAGACTGGCAGGTGTTTGCCGAAAGCTCTAAGCTGTGGTCACAATGCACAATAGATCCAACTCTGGTGGATGTGAAGCATGCACGAGTATTTCTCTCACGTTGTCAAATTTTTCGGAATCATCAAGTTTCACTTCCTAACAAACGATAAAAACAAACAGGTCTTGATGTTGGATACAGATTTTTGGAGTCCACTTCATGTGCTGCCCAGCTGCTAAATTTCACGATACACACAACACACACACGTACAACTTGCCCTCACACACACTGTACACGCCGTAAAGTACTGAGAGAGCGTGCTTGGAAGCAGAGTGCACAAGAAAACAGGATGGCCTCTTGTTAATATTTCTAGTGAACAAAACAAATAGACTGAAACCTAAGCAAACTGCTGTTGGTCCAAGTTCATATTTTTGTTCTTTTCTTGCTGCCAGGCCTGCGCTGCGCCCATCTCACATAAATACAACAGCTCTGGAAAGAAGTAATTATTCTCTGTGCTTAAAAACAATGATGAAAGTGCTTTTGTCCATTTGGTTTAGATACAATTTCCTCTTTTTAAACCACAAATGTACAACCAAAACATTTTCTCTTTGCCTGTCTCTTAGCAACTGAAGAACAGTTTTCCAGTGACATCAGGGCAGGGAGCGAGAGAACGAGAGAGAGATTTTTTTTTTTCTCTCTTTAAGGGCCTGGTTTTAATGAAGTCAGACTTGGGTGAAATTAGATTTCAGTGTATACAATTAGAGTAGATGTGCCAATACAAAATTTAGTTTGGACTGAGTTTGGACCTTTGGGAAAGGACAGCAGGTTAAATGTTGCAAAAAAAAAAAAGAGAGAGAGCTTTAACATAGCAGGCAAACACAAATGAATAAATAACTGGCGCAAATTTTGTTGATGGATGTATTGAGCTCGTGAAAACTCCTTTGGCATCTTTTTTTTTTTCCTTTCTTTGTCTGCAGAGAAGTGTGGAGCCTGCATTCCTGTCTTGGCATTGCTTTGGATGGGGGGAGATGTTAAGGCTATAGACCTGGCTGTGCACCGACATTGACTCAGAAAAACATTCCCTCTCACCGAGGTAGATCTGTGTGTTGTGCATGTGTGTGTGTGTGGAGATGCGTCATTACCGTCGGTCATTCCTCCTGCGTCGGAAGAGCTTTTTGGTGTGTGCGATCTCAGCCTCATTAGGAAGTGGTGGGAAGACCTGTTGAAGACAAACCATAGAGTAAGAGACGGCTGCTGTCAAGACCGGCAATTTATGTCACTGTGAAAAGCGTACATGTACACGCTGACGTGTGCATGCATTATGATATGTTTGCATCTACAACTAGAAGTGTCCTTACAGATGTCTTTGACTAACTGACTCATGAGCAGATTTTTATGCCTGACGGATGTAAAACATGTCATTCCGTTTCACAGGTTGACAGAAAATTCCTGACTGATTAAATGTCAGGTGCGGATCGACTTTTAGTTACCGGATAATAACTGACAACTACAAACACAGGTGCAGCTGAAATCACTCCCTCATTCACTGCTCTCTATGTAACACCAGCGGAGCTTCGCATCACCACCCTCATGCATAGAATCCACAGAAGTAATTTTAGAATCTGTTTAATGTATGAAATTGTGGGACTGTTAGCAGAAAGCAATGTGCACATACTTGACAGCGACATAGGACACAAATATATCCTTCATTCTACAGCAATGAATAAAAGTGATTTAGGGTTGGGAAACTCATGTAACCATCACAATAAGCTTCTCCATGAGAAAAGCCAGACAGAGGAGAGGACATTTGACTAAAACTGCACAAAAACTAAAGAGAGCAGGAGAGGCTGCATGTAAGTGAGTGTGAGATTGGAAAGAGATAGTAGGTTTTCAACTAATGACACACAGTTGCCCAGAGGGCACGCCTTCAGATGTCTTGTTTAGTTCGACTAATGTTCCAAAACCCCCAAATATTCAGCTTGCTATGACGTAAAACAGAGGGAGGCAAAGAAATTTCACATATGAGCAACGGAAACCAGCAAATTCTGTTCCTTTATGCTTGATAAATGACCGAAATGATTATCAAAATAATTGATGTCGATCGACTGTGGCTGTTTCAGCTCCAAAAGAAAGACGATGTGCTGGTTGTGAGACAGACAGGAGGAGGAGGAGGAGGTCGAGAGGCAGCCAGTGTTTGAGACGGTGCTAAAGAAACAGATTTAATATTTCATGGTGGGATGCATCACTATTTTCTCCTTTTTTTCAGCTGAATAACACTCAGGATTCCAAAGAATCTGTGAAACGTCATGCTGTCCTGATTTAAACATTTCTCAGGATTTAAAAACTGGCCAAGCCTTGTTAAATGTACTCCTCCCAGTTTAACAACAGTTAATGTTGCCTAGCAGTGAAAGCAACAGAAATTCTTAGGAACAGAACAATATGTATTGATATCACAAACCAAAAAAAATAAATAAAAAAAAGCAACATCATAGTATGTCAGTCACGTAAACAACATATTTCACAGATTGAACGATGTGACATTTTGCTGGCAGGTGGCTGTAGTGTATGTTATCATCATGGAATGTACAACTTATACAGTTACATCCTGTGGAAAGAAAATAAGACCATCTATAATCCATTAAACATCAGCTCTGTCAATCGAACGGCACACTCCCCCCTCCACGCAGCATCACTATGTGTTGTTACCATGGCTACAGGTGACCTAGGACTAGCACTGTTATGTGTATGTACAGAGGGTGTCAAAAAAAAAAAAAAAGAAGCATGTCTGTAGCATGAGGTGTAGACGTTAGACTTAGCGTGGTGAGAGTGTCGATATCAGCCGTTAATCAGGATGTGTGCTCAGTACNTCTGTAGCATGAGGTGTAGACGTTAGACTTAGCGTGGTGAGAGTGTCGATATCAGCCGTTAATCAGGATGTGTGCTCAGTACTGAAGCAAGCAAAAAAAAAAAAAAAAAAAGTTCCAAATGCCTCTAAACTCTGAACCCAATGCATTGTGCAAGAAGGTGACCACAGTCAGAAGGCCGCACAGATCCGTGCAGTGTTTTCTAAATACAGTGTCAGTGCCTTGTGCTTCCTTTTTTGCTATCTTAATAAAAGAAAAATAAAAAAAAAAGGGGGAAACAACTGGTTTAATCTTATTGTGCATTCTGCCTCATGACCTGTTAACGTCTTCCATGTAATAGCATTAGTCTTCTTTTTACTCGTGATTATGTAGGAGCACGCAATGTGCATATTTGGATGATTCCAATCTTCTTATCCCATCACAATGCTCTTTCTTTTGTGACATTTAGACTGTCCTGAAAGTGTGTTTTGTTTGCCTTTTTGGTCACGAGTTAAATACAGGGGTGAAAGAAGGCAGAAAGCGAAAATAAGAGAGTTACCGTGTTTGTGAACTTCTCTACAGCGCTCTCATCGTGGCTTAAGGAGGACTTGAACAAACCTGTACACAGATCATACATCGTACCTGCACAGCAGCATCATCACAGTTCTGTGTGAATGTGTTTGTCTGCAGCTGTCCATGTCTGTGATTTTTCTCTTTCGCTGCTCATCTAGACAACCAGAAACACTGTAGATATTCAAATGAGTTGGAGAGAGAGCTTGATATTTGACACTGCTGTTCTAACCTACTTCTCTGTAGCAGAGAGGCTGCTGGGGGATGGTGGGATTCTGATCCAGATGTGAGAAGCAGAAAGTGTATAAATGTGCATAAACACACGCTAACTGCCCCTCACATATAAACCCAAAAGTATTAATAGTATTAATATCTGTCAAACTGTGCTTTTTATTCTCGCAGACCTTTTACCACTGGAATGGTCTGAAAGGGCGGAAAAAGTAGGAGGAGAGAGAAAAAAAAAAATAAAGTAACAGAGGAGCTGTTGCATGTTTAGCTACTGTAGTTTTCCTCCAGGATATCATTAGCTGTAATTCTGCCTTCAAATGGTAACCAGATGAGAGTAGGCGCGCACACACACACACACACACACACACAAAGACTAAACGATGCGCAGCACATATTTCTCTTTAACTTGTCAGATTTTTCCATCGCTAGTTCAGATTTCTCTACAAAATGTCAGATTTTTTTTTGCCGTTAATGAAAACATTTTAAAACTCGAGCGTGTCCGCGCGGTTCATAATGTGTCTGACATAAACAGAGAGGGAGGAAATGAGAGATGTCGGACTGTCTCTGCGGCTGAAAGAGAGAGCGCTGTGTGTGTGAATATGCTATCTGCAGGTAGCAGCCAGCGCTGGGTAGATCAAAGGGAGCCATGTGCTGTCCTGGTCCCCAGCCAGGAGACCTCTCACCTCGAGGCAGGCAGTGCGAGCCCTGTGGACGTGACAAGGATGGCGAGGGGGGGCTGCTTGTGTAAGTGGGAGAAAGACAGAGGGGTGATCGAAGCAGAGGCAGACGTGCTTACATCTCTGTGTTTGTGGGGAAAAATGAAGATTATACGAGACTGGAAAAGGTGAATATGAGTTTTTGAGCAAGTCTGAGTTGCTACCGCGCTACGACGGACAAGGATGGAAGGGAAAAACCCCCTTCATCCTGTCTGTCTTTAGTCCCAAGTGGCATTCGGATTGAAAATAGAGCCGTGTTGAAACTACAGGGTTGCATGGATGTGATGGGCTGCTGAAGGAACAGATGAAAACAATTTTCAGGAGATCCAGTTTGAGTAATAGACCCACGAGAATCGTCCAGACAGCGGTTATTAACAGTATGACAGGATTTTATAAAGCGAGAAAGTCATCACAGCAACCATCATTTTATCCTCCATCCAGACAATCACAAGATAAACACTAGACTTATCCTGTTCACGCTATCAAGTAATCTGGCATCAGCCAGCGTTTGATTGGTCGTCGACAAGCGGGAGATTGTTGTAGCTGTCTCGAAGAGCAAAATGAGCACATGAATGTCGGAGGGAGGAGAAGGAACGGGATGGATCTACGGTAGAAGCGTTTAAATTTAAAGAAGAAAAAGACAGTTTTGACAATGCGATTCATGTAAAGTTTCAAGGAAAACACAGAATCAAAATGCAAAAAAGAAAATGAAGAGAGCCGTCAGCACAAAAGCTGCCTGACGGATTCAGGGCCGATGATGAGGACTTCAGATTCATGACACATGAGGAAAAACTCGTTTTCATCCAGGTTTTTATATCCTCAAGGTAGCGGAGACGGCAGTGATAGTTGCAGAGCAGAGTCTTGTTAATTTGAAGGCAGAGCTTCCCTTAAAAGTATTATTCACTTGTTTTAACCGAAGCCTGTCATCATGGAGCGAGCGTTTTAGTTACAGACTGACACAACACATGCATTTAAATGACTAAAAATAATCCTCCCCACTGTCTCTCTCTGGGGGCAGTGATTGTGTGATTGATATTAATGTGCTCTATCTGTCTCCATTTCATCGACAGGTATGTTCCTGTAAATCACAAGCATCAAACGCAAGTTCAGCGGGTTCAAATCAACATTTAGTCTCAGTTGTCAGACAGTGTGCCAACAGCCTCGCCCAGCGACCAAAAAAACTAATTTGTTTGAATTTTACAACCCTGACTAAGGTGTGTCTTTCTGTGTGAATTGTATTATGTGCTTGGGTGTGCGAGTGTGCCTTCAGAGGAAGTTGACATACCCTGTAGCATTCCAGGGAAAATCACAGGTCACTGGGAGAGGCTAACAGAGGGGATGTAGCCACGTAGCTCCAAAGCAACAACAGCGCTGCTTGCTGTTGACGGTCTGACCAACTCTTAAAAGGCTAATTTCATGCCTTGAGACCGGAATTATGTGAAAAGAGTTTTATTTTCTAAGGATTTGCAGTAAAGGTCATGGACGTGGAGCAGATACCATTGTTGATTCATTCATAACAATGATGCTGCTCTAGCATGGCAGGGGTATTAGTAACAAGGAAGGAAAGTAAGGAAATGAGAAAACGCTAACAGGGATGGAAATGTGGAGAATAGAAACCGAGAATAACGATTATAGAACTTTCTCTGGAACTGCATAGAAAGTGAAGTGCATGCTTTCCTGTCTCCTCTAGTGTGTAACAATTCTGGTATGATGCTCATTCAGTCAGTCCATTGTTTCTCTCAGCTTATTTATGTTGCAAGGGCCCTCAGCCAAAAGCAATAAATTTAAAACTGCCCCAGGGGTGGCATTACAGGACAGGTTGTAGAGAGCAGAAGGAGAGAGAGAGAGAGAGAGAGAGAGAA